AGGGTCGTGGCATTAGGAAGGTTGAGAACCACTGCTCTAGTATAACATAATAGGGAAACTCCTATTAAAAACGCAGAAAGGGTGAGTTTAATCTTGATTCTTTCACCTTTTATCTGAATGACTTTGAGCAATTAATCTAACTTCTATAAACCTTAATTTGTGCATATATAAATGATATTAACAGCACTTACTGTTATACTGTTTATAAAAAAGTAAATTTAAAGCACAAGTAAGGCACTCCCCCTCCATCTGACTGGCAAAGGTCAAAAAGTTTAATATTACATTTGGTGGTGAGAGTATGGTGGAGATAGGTACTCTCATACATTGTCTAGGGGAGTGTAAACTGGTATAACCACCACAAAAAACAGTTTGGTACTATCTACCAGAATTACAAATGCACATATAAACCTCTGACCAGCACTTCCTCTACCTGGAATTGATTACAGATGTACTTGTAAATGAACAAATTGACACCTGTATGCAGATACTTATAACAGTACTGTCATAGGTAAGACAAGAGTGGAAACAACCTAAATTTCCCTCTGTAAGGGGCTGCTGTGATGGAGTCATGCAATCAAATACCATGCTGTAATAAAGAACAAGGACACATTTGTGTTATCAAATGGGAGACTGCCAAGACATAGTGCTAATCAGAAGAAGCCAAGTGTAGAACAGGGTGAAAAACCAAGGGATGGAAAGTACCTAACACACATACATATTTGCTTGTATAATTACAGAAATGCTCAAGGAAAACACTTAAGAAAATGAAAGCATTAATTTCCTTTAAAACTGGTATTTCCTGGTGAAATTTTTCTAAGAATTTCCTAAGTGGTCAGGATACATTTTACTATATAGCCTTTCATTTTTTTTATAATACTTTGAATGTATAACTTATTTTAAAAAAATAAATCAATATAAACTCATAGATACAGACAACAATAGCATAATTACCAGAGAAAATGGGGACCAGGGAGGTACAAGAAAGTATGGGGGGGATACATGATGATGGAAGGAGACTTGACTTGGGGTGATGAATACACAGTACAATATACAGATGATGTATTATAGAATTGTATCCCTGAAACCTATAATTTTATTAACCAATGTCATTCCAATGAATTCTTAAAAAATGTATCAATATAAAGTTTCTAGGTTACTGATGAACATAATAAGCATGAAATACATATTAGTGCTGATTTAAAATTTCAACTTAATTATAATTATTCTTCACTAAAATAAATATATCTTAAGGATGTTTTAAATTAGCTGTTTAAAATTCTAAAACTACAAATTTTATATATATAAGTAATTTTAAACAATAGAATTGATCTTACTACAAATGATAAAGGCACATCTTTTAGCCCATGAAGTCCTACCATTTGGATTTGTTTTCATTTACATTTCTAATAAAAGCATTAAAATATTTGCTAATTTAAAATATGGACTTATGCAAAGAACATGACTAGAAGAAAACATTTTCCATATAAAAATGAGAATTTCCCATGAGTTGGTCTTTGAGCTATTGAAAGTTTTGGTGGATCATAGGTGCCATTTAAGCCTCCCTCAAACAGTATTAGATTTTAAAGAAGAAATGACAATCCTACCATGCTTTAGAATTACTTATTTATAGTTGAGTTTTGCTTATAGTTCTGAGTTTCGAGTAAGTTTGGATGAATTGAGAACAAATAGAGACTCCTTTTTCTATTTGACATATGCATTAAGACTCAGGCTGCATTAGCCTTTTCCCAATAAACTGCATCTAGGTTCCTCACTCTTATCAGATATTCTAGTATATTCTACTATAACCTTTCATCTTGTTCTCCCTTATACTTTGGTAATAATAGCTTCTCTTCTTTCTTTGGTTTTTAATTTCTTACACATAAAGTTTTAGGCCATGCTATATATAAATAGCATTAACATGTGTACCTCTAGACCAGTGGTTCTCAACCTGTGGGTCGCAACCCCTTTGCGGGTGGAGGCTGTCTTTCCTCTTCCAGGGCATGCTTGGGGATATTGTTTTGCTCCCACTCCAAGTTAGGGCATGGGAAATCTTTGGGAGTCTGTGTAGTTCCCATCTACTTACTCACCATGAATCCATAACCTGTCTCTGGGCCTGCTGCCCTCCTGGACTTTTGCATTCAGGAATTCTGGCACACCTCCCCTCTGCTCTCAGATCTCACAAACCCATCTATGTAGGTTTGCTGGCTTCTCAGGAATGTAACCAGGGAACATGGTTTAGACTCCTTATCTCTGGGACAGTGGACATCTGCCCCGCCATTGCTTCCCCTCCTACTATTGACAATCCCCGATTCTCCAGCATAGGAGATGAGTTTGTTTTAGTATTTTCTGCCATTGGAAAGCTATGTTCTTACAAAAAATGTTTTGTCCTAATCTCTGGCTATGCTGGGAGGCTTTTTTGTTCCTGTAAAACCAAGCCTTTTGCAACACCAAAGCCAGGAAGAGACTCCCCCAGCCCCGCCCCCCTTTATTTTGCTGTCACATTTTTTTCTTAAAGCAATAAACACAGAATGCCTAGCTGCTTGTTGGGGTAGAACGATGGGCAGAGACTGAGAGAATACTGGGTGGGGGAGGAAATCTGTTAATATTATCCCACCACACTTATGAAGAACAGACAGAATTGCCCTAACCGGTTTGGCTCAGTGGATAGAGCGTCGGCCTGTGGACTCAAGGGTCCCAGGTTCGATTCTGGTCAAGGGCATGTACCTTGGTTGCGGGCACATCCTCAGTAGGGAGTGTGCAGGAGGCAGCTGATGGATGTTTCTCTCTCATTGATGTTTCTTTTTTTTTTTTTTTTTTTTTCTCTCATTGATGTTTCTAACTCTCTATCCCTCTCCCCTCCTCTCTGTTAAAAATCAATAAAATATATTAAAAAAAAGAATAGACAATTAATAACAATAGGGCTCTTAGAGCAAATATTCTTATCTATCCAGATAAAATTGTGTCCTTAGCCCTAGTAAATAGTGCATGGTCTTGGTTTTGTTTCTTGCTACACATGGGCAAGAAGACTTCAGAAGTCAGAAGCCTTATTGTAAGTAAGCAGACTGACAATGGGGAAAATTGTCTGCCAAGAGGGTTTATCTTTTCACTAGAGATCATTTCTTAAGTGGTTTTAAAAGGTATGACTCTGTTATTCAAGTTGGTTCTAGGAATATGACAGTTTATATAAAGCTGTTACTTCACTGAAAAATCTAGACACAGCGAGAGTAGCATTTAGTCTTTTACACCCAGAAACTTGTATAACAGGAAGAATCACATTAGATATTCTGAGAATGCTGAGGCATTCTCAAAGCACCTTTCCAGTTTTTACGTTCATTTTAAAATATGTTGACATGAGTAATTATTATAATAAAGTATTAGCTCTTTGCAATTAATTATTGCTGACATGCCACATATGAAAATATCTAAGTAATTCATTTAATCCTTATAAAAACCTTAAGATACATATAATATCCTAATTTACAGATACAGAAACTGAGGCACAGAGGCTAAGTCCAAAGTCTCAAGTTACTATCTATGAGATTGAATTAGAAACCCAGAAGTCTGATGGTTGAGTAGAAATGTGTATGCTGCCTAGTTGATCATAATGATATTCATCATGATAATAATGGTTAGGAGATTATGGCGTAAAAGTGACAATTCTTTGAATAATCTAAAGGCTGATTTTAAGCTAGTAAATTAAAATAAAAATTTTAACGTGGACTTTACCATTTGGTACTTGTGAGACAAAGTGTAAGTTACCAGTCTGCAGCCTGGAAATGAGACTGGGTTAGAGAACAATTGATTTCGACTCTTATTTATCCAGAGACACAGAGGTTCTGTGCTCAGCTGTCCTTGATCTTCAGGGAACCACAAGGTAAAAACACCATGGAATAGAAGGTCATCAACTCATTAGAGATTAACATTTTATATTAATTTTAATGTGCTGGACTTTGAAAGGATCAGCATGAAGAGCTGATAATCCTCTCAAATGATACATAAAAGGCACAAGGAAATAAAAATTTTAAAAAATCCCCACCCGAAGATATGTTGTGTTTTTTTTTTGTTTTTTTTGTGTGTGTTTTTTGGAGAGAAGCAGAGAGACAGAAACACTGATGTGAGAGGGAAGAAAGAATCCATGGGTTGCCTCCGGCACCCACCCAGACTGGGCACCAACCCAAACCTTAGGTATGTGCCCTGCGGGGGTATAGAACCTGCAAGCTTCTTGGTGTACAGGGGAGGGCGCTCCAACCAACTGAGCAACCTGGCCAGGGCAGAAATGAAATGTTACCTCTTACAAACACTCTCCAGGCCACCAGCATTGTGTAACTCATCCACTCATTCAAAAATACTGACTGAGCACATGGTATGTGCCAGACAGAAGTGCTGGGGATAGAGCCATGAAAAAAGAACGAAATTTCTGTCCTCGTGGAGTTTACTGGGAGAAGGAAGGTGAAATAGTAAATGAACGAGCAATTAGAACATTACAAAGTGCTGCGGAACAAACTACCGCTCTCTTCCGTACTCCCAGCTTCAGCCGCCTGGAGCCTTTAGCCTAACCTCTGTCACTTATACTACTAACGTGCAGGTCAAATTATAACAATAATGCGCAACTGACGGGTTAGCTACCAGCAGGCTGTGTCCAGGAAGTGATTTACTCCTTTCAACCTTAGGACGACCCTCCGCGGTCAGCACTCCATTCCCATGTTCCAGACAAGCAAACTGCGTTTCAGAGGGGCACTCGCCAACTCATGGCAGACCTGAGGCTGCTGGCACGGGGTGACTACCTCCGAGGTTCCTCTACACCACGATGGTGGCACAGGCGATGAAACACGAGCGAAAAGGATAAAAAGACTGAAGCTGCTACCGCACTGAGTGAGAAGGGAAAACCAGAAGGCACAGCACACAGGACCGGACGCGCGCCGGTCCCAACGCCTGGGAGCGCGGTGGGGAGGCGGCGCCGGAAGTCGAGCTGCCCCTTCCGGACCTGACGCCGGAAGTGGCTCGTCGGCGCCGCCTTCAGGTCGCCGTTGACACAGCCGCTCTTGGGTTTCGGTGACTCCGCAGCCACGAGGTGCCCGGAATCCACTTCCAAACGCGTCTGCAAGTCAAAATGTCGCACCCGTCCCCCCAAACGAAGCCCTCCAACCCAAGTAACCCCCGAGTCTTCTTTGACGTGGACGTCGGAGGCGAGCGAGGTGAGCGGAGTCTGAGATGCGTAGACTGGCTCCGAGGGGGCTGGGCTTCCCGGGATTCAGGAGTCGCCGCGGGTGGGTGCGCTTCGGGCCGGGGGCTGCTCCGTAGGGCAGCGGGAATGGCCACGCTGACTGTCCCGTCTGAATAAATTAGCCTTGAATTTGGGCTTGGGTCGAGCCAGCGCCCTTGTAGAAGGCCACCGATCGTGCGGAAGTTTCTGGAAATTTCTGGTTCGGGGATCGTGGCCATTAGGTTTGTCTCTCCTATTTGCACCTCCCGCCACCTTGCAGCATTACGTTGGCATAAAATAAGATGGTTCTATGTTTGCAGTGAGACATCCAGGAAACCCATGGGTGTGCGTCAGTGGGGCTCCCGTCCCGCCGTGCGTTTGGCGACGCGAGCTTGATCAGCAACTGTCATGTGATTTACAAATTAAAGTGACTTTTGCGTGTGCCTTCTTCTGTATGACTGATTCTTAACTCCGCGGTCCAGTCAGATTGGGGACCATTGTCTCTGTTTTGGCAATAAGTTCCTTGTAGGGACGTGGTTGCCTAGGCTACGCTAGCAGCCCAGACGCTCCCTAAACTCTGGATTCGCCTATTGCTTGGTAACCGAATGGCGCTGGTTCTGGAACACGTTAGAATTGCTGACCAGGCAGGGTGCTTGAATGTTGTACAGACGTACATAGCAGGATCCAGGGGTCCCCGTGGATCATATGGATACACACACACACACACACACTTATATGTACATTCAGTTGGGTTTGAAACTAGTGCCAGGTTTATTTTGACCTGGCTCAGGCTTTAGCTGGAATGGCAACTTTTCCAGCTTTTGCTTCAGAAGCTGTAGCAGGCAGGTTCCACAAAGCACAAAAGCTTCAGCCAAGCTCAAAACTCAGCCAATCTGACGACACAAAGAATTTTTAAATTTTTTTTTTCCTGTAGTTAGTTGGTGATTGAAAATGCTGAGTACATGTTGAAGAAATTACTCAGAACGTAAAACATTTGTTCTTCATGGTGTCCCTTATATGGTGCTGATCTTCTGGCTGTTGTATTTATGAACCATTGTCAGGTGCAGAAAAATAATTGTTTCAATTTAAGTTGACTAAATTTGAATACTAGAAAAATAAAAGAGAACTTGACATCTTAGTCGTCATAATTTTACTAACTGACCTTTTATCATTTGCTTATTTGGTTGGTTGTTTTGCATACTGACACTGTTTCTTATTTTTTTTCAGTTGGCCGAATTGTCTTAGAATTGTTTGCAGATATTGTACCCAAAACTGCAGAAAATTTTCGTGCACTGTGTACAGGAGAAAAAGGCATTGGACTCACCACTGGGAAACCTCTCCATTTCAAAGGTTGCCCTTTCCATCGAAGTATGTAAATTTTCTGAAACTGATTCTTACACATAATCAAATCCTGTCCTATAGGAGTTGGGGAAGACACTGTGGGGCAAAGGTTAAAAGTTACTATTAGTTTCTAAGAGGATGCTTTGACACCTGAGGCAATAGCTCAATGTCATAAAGGTTGGGCTGTAGAAGGCAGAATTAATTATAGGAGTGTACTAAGGTTTATTTCTAGAGAAATGAAATATACTAGTTTCACCAGTTCTCTAACTAGAATGTGATTAGATTGAGAAAAAAGAGTGTGGCCATGATAAGTAGGTAGACCTTGGATGGCTTGACTACCAGGTGATAAAAAAGTTAAATCTTCTTGGGCAGGATTGCTTGGGAAGGCTACCGCCGACTTAAAACTTTCGTGTCTTGGGCACATGGTGTGATGTGATGAAAAGATGACATTTCACACAGCTTATCACACTTTCTAATTATACTTTTGTTTAGTGATTATTTGGTGGTTCCCCCAATAGACTGAAGGTTCTAAAGAGTTAACATAGCAGGCCCTGGGACTGCTGTCCTTAGAAAGGTCTGCTCGCAAGGTTGGCCATTGTGTAGAGTCTGGGAATTTGGAACTTGAACCATTCCCAAAATCATAAAGGTGGATTACTAAGCCTAGACTCTTTATACAAGTAATTCGATTTCCTTTTGGGAGTCTGGAATTTTGGTACATACTAGGGAGAGAATACCTATATGATCATCCTCAATGAAAACCTATGGGTGCTGAGTCTCTACTGGGCTTTCCTGGGCTGGAACAAATCATATACGTTATTGCACTTTCTTTGCTGGGGGAAGAAAATGCTCTGTGACCAGCTTGTGGGAGGGTGAGAGCACAAGGAAGCACATGGATTCCTCTAGACTCTGCCTGTATCTTTTCCCTTTATTAGCTAGTTGTGTTTCCTTCCTGTGTTGCTGTGATACAACCAAATGCTGAATCCCATGAATCATAGGGAATTTCTGAACATTGGGGTAGTCTTGGGAATCCTTGACACTGAGAGATGATTTTTGCTGAAATATTTCTGCCACAGTATAACAAATCTTAGAATAATTGGCCTTTATTCAGGAGACATTATTGGGTGACTAATATGTGCCCAGCCATACACATAGTAACAAGGATGAAAGACAGAGTAGCTACCCTGGCTGGTGTGGCTCAGTTGGAGTGTTGTCCCATATACCAAAAGGTTGCGGGTTTAATCTCTAGGAGCCTATATGGAAGGCAACTGATCAATGTTTCTCTCACATGGATGTTTCTCTATCTATCTATCTCTACTTCTCCTCCCCTCTCTCCCTCTCCCTCTTTCTAAAAAAATCAATAAACATATCCTCGGGTGAGGATTAAAAAACACAAAGAGTTGCTGTACTTAAGGAGTTAATTATTTGCCAGAAAAGACAGATCATTTTGATATACTGGGGGTCGGGGGAGGGGGTCCCTTCAGCCCGGCCTGTGACCTCTTGTAGTCCGGGAGCCCTCTGGAGATGTCTGACTGACAGCTGATAGCTGATTTGCATATTAGCCTTTTATTATATAGGACTAGAGGCCCGTTGCACAAAGAGATTCATGCAATAGGCCTTCCCTTCCCCTGGCTGCCGGCACCGGTTTTCCTCCGGCACCTGGGACCCAGGCCTTCGCTCCGGCCGGAGCCTTCAGTCTTCGCTCCGCTGCTTCACCCCTACATATGCAAACTAACCGCCATCTTTGTTGGGTTTATTTGCATACTCCTGATTGGCTGGTGAATGTAGCGGAGGGACAGTTAATTTACATGTTTGTCTATTATTAGGTAAGATGTTATACAATGGAGGTAGAGTCTAGCTACTAGGGGAGAAAAATTAGGAGATCCAACTTCGGGATGCCAGTGACAGTTTTATTGCAGAGGTGCCATCTGAACTAATTTTTTTAGTGTTCGTGGGGCATCAGGCAGTAAAAGTACTTTGGACTCAAATTGTGAAAAGTCTTTTAAGAGTAAAATGGTGGAGAAAGATAGGAGAATGACATGACTAGAGTCATTTTAGGAAGTTGTCTTTATTATATATTCATTAGTTAACATTGCTGAAGTCATAGCTTTGTTTGTTTTTATTAAATTTTTTGGGTGACAGTTAACATGAATATAGCTTTGTTTCTAATAGCTATTTTCCTTTTTTGTAGTTATTAAGAAATTTATGATTCAGGGTGGAGACTTCTCAAATCAGAATGGGACAGGTGGAGAAAGTATTTATGGTGAAAAGTTTGAAGATGAAAATTTCTATTATAAGGTAAAGTAGACAAATGCATGTTATGATAATAAAGGGTACTATGCATGGGCACTTGTTGGGTTAAGACACCGATAAATGTCTCAAGTGTGTTTAGATTCTCCTTTCTTTCTAAAAGGTGTCATATTTGGCAATATGCGCCTTTGATACGGAACATTTTCATCCAGTAATGATTTGGCAAAAATACTATAGTTATTTCAGTGTGATCCAGGTTTACATACTTCAGTAAAGCTAATGAGTTTTAAAGTGTGGCCACCATATGGCAAAATTGTTTCCAGGAAAATGTTCTCATTATCAGAAGGATGGTAACTTGTGCATCTTTATGCTTGAATTTGAAGAGCAACAAAACCATCGCTAATATCCAGGATATCAGGGGATTTGCAAACTAGAGGATATGGTTAATGTCCAAGCTCCTAAAGGACATTAGTGGTGCCTGTGCCTTATCTTCATTGTCCCAGGATGTAATCGGGTTATATTGCATCATTCAAGTTATAAGAATGGACATGTAAGTACAAAAGTAAAGTGATCTTTTTGGAAATGAGGAAAATGAACAAGGTAATGAGTATAACTTGAAAAGAAAATCTCATCTATATTTTAAGCAGTATTTATTGACTGCAGCTGTTTGAATTTAATACTGTCACTGGCACCAAAGGGTTTATAAAAATGAAAGGCCTTGATGACAAGGAGTTTATAATCTTAATGGGAAGACAAGATTAAAACACATGGGACAACTGGAGAATAACAATATGCCCGAAATATCATTTGGTCTGGCCCTGCCAAGGCATTAGGGGTGAGTTAATTAAATGTTTGACCAAAGAACAGGCTAATTTTTAAGTTGATAATTTTGTATGGTCCTCGAATAGTATTATAAATATCCAAATGGCCTTTGGCAGAAAAAAAGTTCCCCACCCCCGATCTAAAGAAAGGAGGCCTATTGAAAGGACACAGTTCTTGCCTTCTACAAACTTGGTAACCTTGAAAGCTGAATTAGATTTAGATTGGAGGGTTAAAAGGCATTTTAGGTGGGAAGACTAACATTAGATTTATAATGCTTGGCCCAACAAGGAATAAATTTAGAAAGCCTGAGGAAAAAGTGCAAAGATGAAAACTGGATTTCACAGAACCTTTGAACAGGTTGGTGCCAAGGAAGAAATTTGACTTCAATATATATGGATGCAGTAGTTTCTTTTGGGCATTCCCTTAAGAAGTGATTCACCTCGGATGAAAGCCATAAGTTTTGGATTCTTCTGAGATTTGAAAGTACCTAATTGAATATCCTATCTAAATTGAATAATCTATCATGGTTCCCTGTTTATTGATGTGTAAAGGAAGAATCATAATGTAGGCCCATAAAAGTCAAAAGACTGTTTAGTGTTTCTCAGAAAAAAAGACCATCCATCATAAAAAAAGACAGTATAATTATAGATTTCCTTAATGTAGCATCTTCATCTTAAAGATGAAATATAAGCATTTTCTTAATATGGCCAATTTAGAAATACACCCCCCACTGTTGTTTGTCACTTTATTTGATTTCATCAGCATTTGTTAAAGTTTAAAAAGTGATTAAGTAACCCTACATTTTGTGAATTAAAGGTTGCTATTAAAATAAAGTACAATTATATTTTTTGATCTAAATGATATTACAGTCTACCATAGTTTTGTGTATGGTCAGTAAAAGAACAATTCAGACTAGTACCTCTAACCTTGGTTTTCATTAAATTAATTTTGTTTCTACAGCACGACCAGGAGGGCTTATTGAGTATGGCAAATGCAGGCTGCAATACAAATGGTTCTCAGTTCTTCATCACAACAGTTCCAACTCCTCATTTGGATGGGAAACATGTGGTATTTGGCCAAGTAATTAAAGGAATGGGTGTGGCAAGAATCCTGGAAAATGTAGAAGTGGAAGGTGAAAAACCTGCCAAAGTAAGTAAATAGTTTACCCTAGATGCTATCTTAAAGAAATGTAAGTAAAAGAATCTGATGATTATTAGCTGGAAAAAGTTAGGATGACTTTTGGTATAGAAGCCTGAATCTGCCACTTAAATTCGAGAAAAAGATCAGGGCAGCTTCAAAAGATTTTTATTATTTCAATCTCAATCTTGGTGATTTAAGTCTTCCTATACTTGCAAAACTTTGAGTCAGCCTGGATACTAGTTCATCACAGAAAGAGGACAGGAAATGAAGAATCATATTCAGACTCTGCCATTTAATTGGTGGTTTGGCCTTGATCTTATTCAATTTCTCTTAGTCTGATTCCTCATTCTACATAAATTACTTAAGGGTTTAGAATAGATTATATAACTCTAAAGATCCTTGAGTTCTAAGTCTGTGGACCAATGGCCATACTACTACCCAACCCAATTGGTAGGGTTGTGAGAATTGGGAACTCTGATACCTATAGGAGGTAGGCTGTCACTCAGCAGTAGTAAATTGAAAGCAGTGCCCCAGCTAAAGACAATTATATAGAGAATGATAAAGTTTTCAGTTCATTTTGTGTACACTGAGATGCTGAATAGCAATAAAAGACTTTTGTAAAATAGTGACATTGTTCTATTACTTGGAATGTTTTTAAAGGGTATTTTGTAATTAGAGCAGATAGGTGAGCCTCCTAAAGTCAGTCTGTCATTTTAGAAGTGACTTGGACCATGTTGCATATAACTTGAAGCTATATAGCTTTTAAACCCAGACTTTTTTTTTTTTAATATCAATATGTTAGTGCCCGTCTACAATTTAGGATTATTTTTACAGTTGTGCGTTATTGCAGAATGTGGAGAATTGAAGGAAGGGGATGACTGGGGAATATGCCCAAAAGATGGTTCTGGTGACAGTCATCCAGATTTCCCTGAGGATGCAGATCTAGATTTAAAAGACGTGAGTACTTTCAATTAGTCAAGCTTTAATTATTTCAATTACTAAAACTATTTAGTACTAAAATTTTGAGATATTTGTGTCAATCTGTCTTAGAACCCAGCATTAAACCACATTACTTACTAAAATCCAGCATATTTGTATTCTTTTATACAGGTAGATAAAATATTATTAATAACAGAAGACTTAAAAAACATTGGAAATACTTTTTTCAAGTCCCAGAACTGGGAGATGGCCATTAAAAAATACACAAAGGTTTTAAGGTAATAAAATATTTTTAATAAATTGCTTTTAAGAACTTGTAAATTGAATTGTAAACTGAAATTCAAGAGTTTATTGTATTTTTGGCAGATTAGCTGCATTTTTTGTTGCCTCCAACTTCTTAATTTTGAAAAATTTCCAAATACAGAAAAGTTGGAATAGTACATGAATGAATGCTCATATATCTTAACCTACAATTCACTAGTTAATTTTTACTGTTTGTTTTTGAAGAATCATTTTTGAGAGGAAGTTGCTGATACCATGATACTTCACCCCTGAATATCTATTATTATATCCTAAGAAACAAAGACATTCTTCTACATAACCTTACTACCATTAAAACACCCCAAAATAACATTCATACAATATTATCTAATATGTAATCCACATTCAAATTTCCCCAATTATTTAATTTTTTTTTTTTTTACTCCAGAGGCAGTTGTATCATTTGGTTTTATGTCTCTAGTTTATTCATCTTTAATAGTCCCTATTCTACAAGTTTTTTGTCACTTACACTTTGTGGAGTCTTAAATAGGTTGCCTTCTATAATACCATCTGTTTGATTGCTTCCTCAAGGTTAGGTTGAGGATATTTTGGCAAGAGGACTTAAGTAGGTGATGTATATTTTCTATGACATCACACATATTGAAGGCACATGTCAGTTTTGAGTTTTGGCACTTGATTAAAGTGATGTCAGCCAGATGTCTTATAAAAATGCCTTTTCCCCTTTGTAAATAGTAAGTACTCTGGGGTGATACTGTGAGATTGTGTGCATATTCAGTTTCTAACATTTCATCCAGTGGTTTTACATCATTGAAGACCCTTGCCTAAATCAGTTATTGCCTTGGTGATTGCAGAACTGTGATTTTTCTAATTTTATCACTCATTCTACAGTTATTATAAGCTAGCATTCTTCTGTTTGAAAGAACCTTTCCTCTCCCCACTTTCAAGTATCACTATAGACTGTGGATTTTTTTCAGGTCTTATACTATTACTATAATTTTTTTTTTGAAGCCCAAAGGGTTCCAGATTTTTCTAGTGGGAAGCCCCCTTTTCTACATCCTTTTGACATATTCCTCTTAGTCTGTGATCACTTGGCTTACTTTCCGACACAGATGTTCCAGGCTCATTTTATACTTAACCCGTTTCCAGATTGGTATCAGCAATTTCTCCAAGGAGCGCTGATTCTTTTCACTAGGGTATAAACTTTAGAGAACAAATTATGGGAACCAGGTATGCTTATTGTTTCTGAGTCCTTGTCAGTAGACAGAGCTAGGAACTGTATTAAATGACAATTCAAAACCAACACTACAGGGTTCTTCACCTTTCCCATTCCATTCCCTGTCACACAATGAGAACCTTGCTTCTCAAAGTACGTAATCGAGACCTGGTTTTTAAAAATAAAAGGTGTTAATAGTGCACAATTATCTTTAGATATGGGGATTATTCTTAAATTGGCCTGTTTGAACAATTTGGAAAAAAGTTGTAACAAATAAAAATAAGTTATCTGAAGAAGAAAAGATAATGAATATTAAGAATATTAATATTAGCATTTGATAAACTTTTTATATCAGAAGTGACCTAACATTTTTTGGCATAGTTGAAGCAGAATATGTCTTATGCTAGTTTTACATTTTACTTTTATTAATGTGTTCTCCAGATATGTGGAAGGTTCAAAAGCTGTTATTGAGAAAGCAGATAGAGTGAAGCTGCAACCTGTAGCTTTAAGTTGCATGCTGAATATTGGTGCTTGTAAACTAAAGATGTCAAATTGGCAGGGAGCAGTTGACAGTTGTTTGGAGGTAAGTCTGTTTGCTGTTGAACTTTTTGACAGTGTTGGATTATGATTTATGAACTTGAACAAAACAATTTTATATACATTAATATATCATTGCATAGGACCTAATGAGACTCGATAAAACATGTCATTTCATCTCTAAATATTTTGGACATCAGTTTTCCTCTCAATCCATTTACTTAGCTTATTGTATTACTTAATATCTATTAAGATACTTTTCCTTTTTTCCTCAAAGCACATATATCAGCTCACTTATTCATTTAACATATTGAACACCTGTTATGTGCTAGGCATTTGAAGACAAAGCCAGGAATGACTAAGAATATGGGTTATGGAGTCAGTCATAGTTTTTTTATTAGACCTCTCACTAACTTTGTGATCTTGGGTAAGTTCCTAATTTGAAAGTCTTTATATGTAAAGTGGAAATAATACCTGCCTCATGGGTTTATTATAAGGATTATATAACACTAGGGTCCCTAGGCCTAGCCAGTGATCAGGGCTGATTGGGGCCTTCCGGCTGCCAGCCGGGGCCTTCCTTCGTTCTGTGCTGCCCCTTGGTGGTCAATGCACATCATAGCGATCGATTGAACTCCCGGTTGAACTCCCAAGGGGACAGTTTGTATATTAGGTTTTTATATATAGACTAGTGGCCTGGTGCACAAAATTCGTGCACTTGGGAGCAGGGGTAGGGGTAGGGTCTCCAACCTGGCCTGTGCCCTGTCACAGTGCAGGAGCCCCGCGATCCATCGCCCACCTGGGGCTCCTCGATGGATTGCCCCAAAGAGGTAGGCCGGAGCCAGGAGAGGCCTGTGGACCCCTGGGCCACGGCGGAGGCCTGTGGACCTCCGAGCGTGCACCTCAGGAGCCTTGGTGCACGTGTGTGGAGGCCCCTGCCATGGCCCCACCCCTGTCCCCGATGCTGCAAGTCCCCACCCACCCACACCTGCTATGCGCACAGCCTGATGATCGGTAGTTACTGTGATGGCGTCCCAACAAATTTGCATATTACCCTATTATTAGATAGACTAGAGGCCCGTTGCACAAAGAGATTCGTGCAATAGGCCTTCCTTCCCCTGGTTGCCAGCACTGGTTTTCCTCTGGCACCCGGGATCCAGGCCTTCGCTCCGGCTGCAGCAGAGAGGCGAAGCCTCTTCAGCCTTCGGTCGTCGCTGCTCCGGCCAGAGCCTTCAGTCTTCGCTTTGCGCCTGAATATGCATATTAACTGCCATCTTTGTTGGGTTAATTTGCATACTCCTGATGGGCTGGTGAGAGTATTGGAGGGACGGTCAATTTACATGTTTGTCTATTATTAGGTAAGATAGATATGTAAAGCATTTACCAGTGTTGGGCACATGTTAAGCACCTTTATGGAGACATCCAGGAATACTAACAGCAAAAGCTAGAAAGGTAAAAGCATACCTTACTTAAAATACACAATTATGACTTTTTCCCTATTGTAGAGCTGAAAAATTTTCCATACTAAACATTGTATTTTAGAAAGACCACCTCCAATAATTTTAATGTATATTGTACATTCTGTACATAGACCAGTAACATCCACAGCAAGGAGAAATAAAATGAAATCCTAATTTGGTAGGGTAGGTGGAATAGGGATAAGAATATACTTAGAATGGAATACAACAGAGGAAAAATGTTATCAGAGGAAAAGATTAGTCTTCACCAATTTTCTGGATCTCTTTTTGACCTTTGTGAGGCAGATAATGTACCCTTTTCAGTAAATCTAAGTACTGACCTTTAAAAGATGTTAAGTAAAATAATATTTTTAAAACATTTATTTCAGAGTAGAGACCTATTAAAAGTTATTCATCCTCCTAAAAAATTACATGCAAACAGACTTTTATTCAAAACTACAGGCCCGGTGCATGAAAATTTGTGCACTGGAGGGGGTGGGGTCCCAAAGCCCGGCCTGCCCCCTCTCACAGTCTGGGAACCCTCAGGGGATGTCCTACTGATGGCTTAGGCCCATTCCCCGTGGAAAGTGGGCCTAAGCCGCAGTCTGGCCTCCCTCTGAGGGAGGCGACTGGGCCGATCAGGGAAGGTGCCACCCCCATCATCCTGCTGCTGCCACTGCCGGCTACCGCGGCTGCTGGCCCTCAGCCCTCGCTTCTTAGTGCTGGTGGGTGGGGGGCAATCTGGGGCCAGGCTGGCTGGGGAGGGGCTGTGGGAGTTTGAGGCATAGCAGATCGCACCCCCATCCAGCCTCTGTGGAGGTGTGCTGCTGGGACTGGGCCTGTGCCGCTGCCTCTGTGGCTGCCTCTGTGGAAGGGGCAGCACTGGGACCAAGACCACTCAGCCCTCTCTCCCGCCGCCTCTGCAGAAGGGGCCATGGCGCTGGACTGGCCCGCGCCGCCGCCTCTCCTGCACCGCCGGCCCTCGGCCCTGGCAGCCACAGCGGCTTTGTCTGGAAGATGTCCAGTCTATCCGGTCTAATTAGCATATTATCCTTTTATTAGTATAGATGGCTTTCTTTGATCAGTTAGGGCCAAATCAGGAAATAAAAACCATACTGAACTTTAAAAGAAAATATAAAAGGGGACTGGAATAATAAGGGATTGGCTAGTAAAGAGATTCTAAAGTGATGGGACCAGCGGATCTGTTTCCCCTAGGTGGGTATGGAGCCCCTCGAAAGAGGCACCTCTCTAGACCTCTGGCTGAGATCCAGACCTTTTTGGAGAGGGGATGGCCATGGCTTTTGTGTGGCAGAGGCAGTCACTGAGCACCACACTTGTGCTACTCACTGGAGTGCCTGGGGAGTTTGTCTGTGGAGAGTTGCTACTGACAAACTGCAGGAACCTAATAAGAGGAGCACACTGGAACCTGGAAGAGAAATTGGCTTTCTCTTCCATGTCCATGTAGAGCCCTCTACTGACAAAACTTAACATTGTGCCACCTAGCAGAGGAGAGATTTATAGGGTTCATCTTCACAGAGCAGTGAAGGGTTGATTTGGAACTGACAGGCAATAAATTTAAATCTAGTACATACATTTAATACTTAATATAAAGTATTAATTTGATTCTTTTTTCTAGGCTCTTGAAATAGATCCATCAAATACCAAAGCACTGTACCGTAGAGCGCAAGGATGGCAAGGATTGAAAGAATACGACCAAGCATTGGTAAAATTTTGTCCTAAATTTCACTTTTAAAAATAGACAACCACCTTCATAAATCATATACCTAATATTTCCTAAAAACTTTTTTCCAATTAAAGGCTGATCTTAAGAAAGCTCAGGAAATAGCACCAGAAGATAAAGGTAAGTTGGCAGTTTTTGTAGTGAAAGTTCACTTTGTCCTTTAAGAATTTCTCTTAATGAAACACTGTACCCTTTGCCACTTAGATATTTATTCCACAGATATTACAGAATGCCTGTCATTGGGCCAGGCACTGATCATACTGCATTGAGCAAGTTAGGGTCCCTGCTTCAGAGAGCTTACATTCTAGACCAGGGGTGGGCAAACTTTTTGACTCGAGGGCCACAATGGGTTCTTAAACTGGACCGGAGGGCCGGAACAAAAGCATGGATGGAGTGTTTGTGTGAGCTAATATAAATTCAAAGTAAACATCATTACATAAAAGGGTACGGTCTTTTTTTTTTTTTTAGTTTTATTCATTTCAAACGGGCCGGATCCGGCCCACGGGCCGTAGTTTGCCCACGGCTCTTCTAGACCCTCTCCAGAATACTGTCTTCACATATCTGAATACTATTTGTTCTACTGTATCATTTGAGATCTAGTTCCTATTAGTTTAATTCTAGTCAAAAGTACCAAATGACTATTATGGTGAATTTAATGTTTATGACCATTCCTTAAACTGAATGTGGCCATAACCCAAATATTCTAGCCAATAGACTAATAGAAAAGCTTTGTGATACCATGACAAAAATAAGGTTGTCTTTCAACTACACCAACTACTAATAGTGATACTACATCTAGATATTAAAATATACCTTTGGCTTCTTTAATACTAAAGTAAAACAGGAGGCACTTCCCTAATGGAGAAGGCAAATCTGTATAATTCAATTGAATTCTCTCAATAGACAGTTTTCTAAAATTATGCTTAGTGATTATGTATTGTTTTCTCAGTATACATTATTTTGTTAATAGGGCAAGAAGAATTTATCAAGGGGAAGTTAACTATCATACTAAAACATCTGTTTATTGTTCAACCTAATTTTTGGATGTGTGAAAACTAACTCCTATTACATATTTATTTTGCAGCTATCCAGGCAGAATTGCTGAAAGTCAAACAAAAGATAAAGGCACAGAAAGATAAAGAGAAGGCAGCATATGCAAAAATGTTTGCTTAATAAGGAATTCAGTTATCCTTAAATATTACACATTGATGTATAAAGGCAATAAGAAAATTTAAGGGATTTTTGTCTATTAAATATGATCCCTAATGTGTTTCCTTTGATACTTCAGTTCCCCATTGTTTACAGTTTAGAAATACTTATACTGGTTCACTCTTAATAAAAGTGTTACAAAGTACAGTGAAGTTGACCCCACCCCTCCGGCTATCTGTATTACAAAGAATAATGGTGTTCAACCTATTTTTAAACTAAAGATACATCTTGTTGAATAAACAGATGAAAGCTTACGTTTGTGTTATTTCCCTCAATTCTTTGATATAGCTTTCTGTAAACTGGTTGGTTTGTGCTGGTGTTTTATACTCACAGGGCCAGATAGTAAATTTTTAGAACCATTTTTTCTGTCACTACTACTCATTTCTGCAAAAGGCATGGCATGGCTGTGTTCCAAGAAAACTGTAAGAAAAGTGGTGGGCTGGATGCCAACCTCTGGTCTACAGTATACATTTATTTTCATACTTGAAGTCTTGAATTTGGCAAGTCAAATGTACATAAAAGGCCAATAGTTTATTCTGCTGTTAGTAATGAATCTTTGAAGAATTGAAGAGATAAGTAAATGCTACATCACTAATAAAGTTTTATTTAAGATAAATATTGATAGTTTTTTATGGGACAAATTTAGGTATAGTATAAAATTATTTCCCTGATATTTTATGAACATTCTGATCAGTAATATGCTATAAGATATGTTGATACTTGCTAATTTCTCAACATTATAAAGAAAGTGTTTATCAGACTTGCCTGCAAATGAAATTAGTTATAGTTTACATTCCATTGTAAGCAGGTCCTCCACCACCTTCGGGTACCACCCAGTTAATATTCTGACTTGGATCTTTAATATCACATGTTTTACAATGCACACAGTTCTGAGCATTTATCTGTAACCGAAATCCATCACCTTGTTCCAAAGGTACAAATTCATAAACTCCTGTAAAGAGAAATAATATTGTTAAGTACCTAACTTTTTCAACTTTCAAAATTCAAAAATAGAAATTGAAGTCCTGGAAATAGTAGCTACAGAAACCTTGAAAGTTTTTTTCAGAATGTTTACCCATAGAGCATATTACAAAGATCTTGGCTGCTTTTGAGTTACAATTCTGTATATATAATGTGCTATATGGTACTGTAGCTGAAAAACAACAACAGAGCCAGTCTTAATCCTGTTTATAACCTGGTATTATGACAGAAGTGATTAAAATAAAGTCAAAAGACAGTCAAAGTCCCTGCCCTCAGACATTCTAGTCCCTCTCCACAGTGTACTAATTTTTACACAGCTGAACACTATTTTAGTGTATCATTTGAGACTCAGTTACTATTTTATAATTGTAGTTAAAAACTCAGCACTAACAGATACAGTAATCATGATGAATTTCAAATTTGGGACCATTTTCTTGAGTTGAATGTAGCTATAGCTCGGTATTTTAGCATCTATATATATACTGTCCGTGCATGGGTATATGTGTGTGCATGCAACCATAACATTTTTTTAAAAGTTATGTGAATGTGGAAAGAGGTATTCTTTGGTGTTCTGTGGGCCTTATCCTGGTCCGAGGGTAGACACAGAAAGACCTCTTGAGAAATGTCCTCTGAATTAGGCTTCAAAAGAAATCCTATTATTTTAACATTGCTAGAGTAAGAACCATAAAATAATGTTTTCTTAAAAAAGCTGAATATAGGAGTCATTTATAATTTCCAAGCAATGGAGACATATTTCGTACATGTTTAAAGCAAACAGGAATGAATGGAAATCACAGTACTGACCTGCAGGGCAGAAGCGCTGCTCGGGCCCATCATATATTGACAGATTTCTATTTACAGGTATACTGTCATCCTTTAAGGTTAAATGTGCTGGCTGGTCATGTTCATGATTAGTACCACTCAGAGCCACAGATGACAAAAGGTCAAAACTAATCTGTCCATCAGGTTTCGGATACTCAATAGGTGTGCAATCCTTGGCTGGCTTGAGCCGATCAGAATCAGAACCTTCAAAAGTTTTGAGGAAGATTTTAAATAAATATACAACACTAATTTTAAAGTACTTAAAAAAAAATTTTTATAAAACTTGAAAATATACCAAAGAAATAAGACTACTCTCATAACAATGATACGCTGTTCACTTAAAGAGACTGAAGCAAATTTAAAGTAATAAAAAAGATAACTTTCTCAGTTACTTAATGGATTCCATTCATGAGTTTTTAATGATTATAACACACTCAAATATGTTATTACCTTTATGTTTTAGAGTCCATGGTTCCATTCCTCTAAATATCCAGTAAAAGATTCCAGTGTAAATCATCCCTCCATATAAACCCAGGAATCCATGGCAGGAGGGTCTTATATTTCTAACAGAATATAGCTCTTTCCACACCCATGATTTCTTCAAATTGTCCTCATACTCAGTTACATGGAGTCCTTTTATTAAAAATACGAAATGTTAAGTGTGAAATTGCCTCAAGAAGTATAAAATACTTGATCAAGGTATTTTGTTTCTGAAATATCTGATGAGTGGATCTTAAATTTAAAAAACAGGTGGTCACAAGAACACACAAAGAATGTTTCATTTATAAATGTTGGCAGCATCTAAATTTGATTTCTTATATTGGTAGCATGGAAAGTTAAGTTTTAAAATTAGGGAACCTGAAAAGGAAGCTTGAGATAAAGAGTTTATGCTTCCTATAAAAGTAAAAAAAAAAATTACAATTGATCAATGAAACACTTCTGTTAGGGGTTGAATTTTGCCGCCCCCCCTCCCGCAACCCACCCCCCAAGACACATTTTAAAGTCTAAACCTCCCAGTATTTAAGAATGGATCAGAATGGGGTTGTTGCAAATGTAATAGTGAAGATGAGGTCATACTGGAGTAAAGGGAGCCCTTAATCCAGACTGGGGTCCTTATGGGGCACAGACAAGCAGAAGACAGGTAAAGATGGAGGCAGAGATTGGAGTTAATTCTATCACAAACCAAGTGAATGCCCGAGGCTTTCAGAAGCTTGGGAGGCAAGAAAGGATTCACCCAGAAACTACACAGAGAGTATGGTCCTGTCAACACCTTAATTTCAAACTGCTAGCCTGTAAAACTCAAATGTTGTTTTAAGCTACCCAGTTTGTGGTACTTAGTTGTGGCAGCCCTAGGAAATTATAACAATACCTAAAACTTGGTGCATGCATTTAATACTTAATGGGACAAAGTGGTTCTTATAAACGTTTGTGAATTACATAATGACTGTTCTTTTTAAAATGTTTTTATTGATTTCAGAGAGAAGGAAAGAGAGAGAGAAAGTTCAATGATGAGAATCATTGATCGACTGCCTCCTGCAAGCCCTCTACTGGGGATCTAGCCCATGACCTGGCATGTGCCGTGACCCAGAATCAAATTGTGATCTGGTTCACGGGTCGATACTCAACCCCGTATCCACATCAGCCGGGCAGTGACTATGTTCCTTCCAGTCTTTATTTCCTATTCTGGCTCCACTTCTCTCCTTCAGGCTTTAATCCCTAACCTAGTTTTTGGTGATGTACTTGCTCCAGTACTTTCTATGTGCGGTATTATGTTTACATGACAAGTTGGTCCAAAAAGGAAAGACACTTGGCAAGAAAATCAGAAAAATGTTCCACTACTCAACCATCACCCTCCACCTTGCTGTTTCTGTTCTACTTTATCTCCTTCTTCTCCCACACCCTAGGCCTCCCTTCTTACAAAGATCCGAAGGCATAATCAGGTTTTCCTTCCAAGAGGCAGGAGACAAAGACTAAGTTGATAAATTATATAGTGTATCAAAGATGGGAAAAAATTATAGAAAAAAACTTCGGGTGAAGTGGGGCGTGTTGAAAGTGCTGTGTGTTGCAAATCAATTGGATTCACTATGAGAGGTATTTGACAAAGGTGAAGGAAGGAGAGAGTTGGCCATGAGCAAGGACAAGAGAAGGAAGCATGCTTGACACGTTCCTGTCAGTGAGGAAGCCCATACGACTGGAACGAGAGTAAAAAGGTGAAGTCAGAGGGGTGAGGGAACTTTGGCTTTTACTCTGAGAAAAGTGGAGAGTCATTAGAAGGTCTTTTTAGACTAAGGGTTTACTGAGGCCTAAGTGCTAGCTGTTCCTCTCCACTACAGTAGAAGTGTCATAAATGCTGGTGCTTGCCAACCCTGCCAAGGATGGTGCTGGATTCTGTAGTTTGCACAGCTCTTCTGTTTTCAGACAAGACACTTTGGTATTTGCGAGATATCTTACTGTGTATATTATATGTGTGTAATGTAATGCAGTACTCACCAACTTGAAATCAATGTTTCAGTGAAAAACCTGACAAATTTCTATACTTTAAATAAATAGGAAGTTCTTACCTATCGTCTTTGATTGGAGATTTTCACTAGTTAGTTGATTAAAAATAGATTCTGCTGCCAAAACTCCACTTTTCATTGCTGTGTGAGTACCTTTGATCTTGGGAACATTCATGAAACCAGGACTACAACCAATTAGTAAACCACCAGGAAAGGTGAGTTTTGGTATAGACTGAGGAAAGAAACATTTAAAGTGTATTGTTAGCTCAAATTTAACATGCAAAACTGACCACTCCACATTATAGCCTCTTAAATAAGTTTAAAGATGTAGAGAAACATTTCTTTAAAAAAAAAGAAAAGAAAATGAATATACTGAAGGGGAAAAAAAAACAGAGCAAGGGCAGTTTTTTCCCCTTCCCAACGAATGAGGATTAGAATTATTACCATTTTTCTATTACAAATTTTTCCTTCTCCCTCCCCATGACTAACCTATATGAAGCAGATTTAAGACCAGAGGGTTCACATTTAAATAAAATGTTTTCATGTACACTTGTGTCATAGTGAAAAATATTCCCTAAACCTGAATGACTATTATCTAAATTGTGATCTGCTTTTACATCATGGTAACATGATATACAAAGGATGGTACCTTACCTCTGTATACACTTTTTATTTTACTTTGATATCTAGGGATGGAAACATAGGTTCTAATCATGGCATCACAATTAGCTATTACCTTAAACAACATTTTAATTAACTTGAGAATAAGGTGAATCCCCCCCCCCCCCAAAGATAGTTGTTTGGGCCTCAATATACATTATTGATAAAGAACAATGAAATAAAGGCTGGTGATATTTTTGGGTTAGCCAATAAAAGCCTATATAGACCCCATAATGTGGCACCTAAATTACAGGTTGTTTGCATGGGAAAATGTACTATAATCTATAGTTTGA